AAAGAGTGCCTTTCACTACCACTGAGGGTGCCACGAGCTGAGCTGGTGTGCTTAGGGCAACTGGACCTGCCAAAGAGTGAAAACACCAACAATACTCAAAACAGAAAAGAGCGCGAGCACAAAATATTTGCTTTTCAAGCCTAGAACGTTAAAATAGATAAAGCAAAGAGCGTGGCTCTTCCTTAAAAAGCAAAACTCTCTTCATCCCGGAAAAGAACATATGTAATAGATTTACAGTGTCTCTGTGCTGCCGAACACTGAAGCGGCTACAATTGCAAACTGCTGCATACGGTAAACGTGCCAGAGCTGGCTGTAGCATGGCAGTATAGAGTTTTTACTCAGACGCGTTTTCTTTTTGAGAAACTTCGGGAGTTGCGTATCTTCTGTATGTGCAATACAGGGAGTGCACACATGAACACTTGCAGCCTTACTGTCAGATGTGTTCTTTAGGCTCTGCGGAGTTTCGATAGCTTTCCACAAAGACCAACATAGCAGTCAAGGCTCAAAGTTGTCCAACTGCAAAGTGTTCCCTCATGGATGCTAGAGATCTATTGTTAAGGTTACACAACGTTATAGAGCCTAAAAGTAAAATGTTTTAAAGATGCTTTTGATTCTACGTTAAATATTGTTCAAGGATTCCATACAGTGTTCGTGTAGCTCGGGGACTGTGGGAGTAAACAGCTGGAGGGCTGGTTTCCAACTGAATGAATTTTTATTGGAATAATCACATCTCCACAGGGCTTATCACAGGGACAAATCAGACTACTACAGAAAACAATAGGTTCAGCATAGATCTGACAATGCAGAACCTATTATATAAACTAACACACAGAGAAAGAAAACAGGTTAGGTTTGTCATCCAGCTGATTAAGAGGTACGGAAATGAAGTTACTTGGCTGTAGTATTATCTGACTTTTGTAAAACCGTGGAAGATATGAAAGTGACATAGACAATTTTGTTTTAATAAAGCATCTATAAATGAGGTACACACGTTCAGGTAATCAACGTGAGAATAACTGACAAAAAATTCAGATGAATTGTCATTTCCATCGATTGTTAGGAGGGTGATGGTCCTTAATCTCGCATCAATCTCAATGTGTGCCACTAGGACAAAAGAAGAGATGCTCTGCTGAGATCAGAGCAGCTTTGCCCTCTATTCCCAACGTACAAATACATTGTGTTTGCAGATGGGCATGAGATAGCTGCGGAACTGCCATGATTTCCCAAAGCTCACCCCCACAAATGGATGAAATAAGCAGCTATGTGTTCTTTTGCTGTCTCCCTTTGCCCTCTGTACATTAGCATGTAATCCAGAGGAGAAATAACATTTTTTCAATCACTCGCAGACATTCAATTACAGGGCAAGCAGACAGCTGCAGAAGCTGGGGCAGTCCAGGTCCTGTAGAAGACCCCTGACAATTTCCACTTCATTTCTAACCCACACCACTTTATTAGTGAGGATTACTTCTTAATCCTATTGCCATTGTCAAGATTATATAATTAAACTCCCCTTTCACCTCTATTACAGTATGAATGTATTACTCGAACCAATGAATGAATAATAAAAGAGAAGGAAACATGGAGAAGGCTGTTGAGAAGGAAGCTCGTGGTAGTAAGGGGAAAAAAAAAAAAAAAAAAAAAAAAAAAGATTCACATCCAGAAAACGCCATTGCATTATTCTGCCGTTACTTTATTTCACTTCGCTCTTCCTACGCAGCTGTTCTTTTTCTATTATGCTGCATTTTTAACTTTTGTTTAAAAAAAAAAATAGAGTGGAATGCAGTTCAGGGATAAGCAAACTGCCAATAAATAATCACTTCCAGTAGGTTCACTGAATTATCCTACGTATCAATTCTACTGCTAGCTTCTCAGAGAACCAGAATTATCTAAGAAATGATATTTTTCTCTAAAGTCAATGTACATGGGATACCAGTTGAAAAAGCAGAACACCACCAAGAAGTCTGCATTTTCCCTGTAAACCCCACATTCTTCAAATAACAAAAGACTCCTATAACTCCCAGTCCCTGAACTGAGGAGGTTCCACTGGTTTTACATTTTCAGCTGTACAGAAATGGACCTGCTCCACTCAGACTGCAACACAGCAAAGGTTGCGTGTGACCGAGTTAAATGAATTAAGTTCAAAGACCTGAAGTAGTGTTTCTTCTGCAGAAAAAAAAGAAGTAAAGTCTAGTAAGACTTGGGTCTGTGGAGATGGGACTTCAATGGGGGAATGACAGAGGGTTTAAAGGAGTTAAATCCAGTGAGTGTACAGATCCTCAAAACCCAAAGTAAATAACCAATACGTACAATTTTATAAACTCAGGAAAAAAATTAAAGCTCTCCAAAGCCTTTAATTACAGACAACTTGCCTAATTGTCCACTAGGTCTAACGATTTGAGGAGTGGAACGAGGTCAAACACAAAGAAAGGAAGCCCTTTTCAAGGTAGAGCTGCTTTCTCTAAAGGAAGGTTTCCTAGAATACAGACATCTACTGCGGAAGTGAGAGGGTTATAAAAGCCAGAGAAAGAAAATGCACAGCTCTCCTCAAGTAAACCCTCAGCATCTGAGGTGCGTAAAAAAATGATCTTAATGACCCAATTATGGAAGGAACAATTTATCAGTGTGTATCCCAATACATGATTCGCTGCAGAGCAGGGGAGATCAGAACTAAAGAAGCTGAGGATAAAATTAGATAGCTGAAGTTACCCGTTAAGTTCTCCACTTCTCTTTCCTCCATGAATGACATGATATCGTCATCGCCTTCCAAGAGAATCTCACTTTCTGAGTTCTGATTTCCCAAAACTTGACTCTTGATGGACTGCTTTCCTTTGACAAGTATATCCTCATCAGGAGCTGAAATGAGAGAGACACACACCGCTGTCTGTCAGGTCTCAGCGGCAACAGTGACAAAGTAGTGTTTTGTTTTTTGTTTGGTTTTTTTTTTAATGGAAGTTCAGGAAGAAAACTGTTCAGTACCAGCTGTGGGAAGTACCTGTCTTAATCCCCTAATGTTAGGACACATCTAGTTTTAATCCTATTAAGCCTGCTCAAAACTATCCAGAGCTCTCTGCAGCGTTTAACTCCACGTGTTTACGGCAGAGGGGGAAAGGACACAACAGGCTCTCTCCCCTGCCACCTCCCTTCGGAAGCTGACTTCTGCTGGCAGCGGGTCCCGAGCGCCCGCTGCGTTACCCCGACTCTCAAACGCAGGGTCCAAGGGCCGCTTTGCCCTGGCGGCGGCAAGCAGAGGCCGCTCCCCGGCCACGCAGGGGACCACCGCCG